GGCCACACACCCCTAATGTAGCCAATCCTAATGAGTTTCTGCTGTTGGGTGTGGCTTGTTATGCTAATGAGTTCCTGCTGGCTGTGGCCAACTCGGGAGCCAGCCGGAACTCCGTTCCTGTGCGTTCCTGCCCAAAAATAGCCCTGCTCACAGGTATAGAAGAACGTAAGAACAGCCCTGCTGGTTCAGACCAGGGGTCCATCTACTCCAGCATCCTGTCTCACACAGTAGCCAAACTGTTCCTCTGGAGGGCCAACAATAGGGCGTAGAAGCCGAGGCCTTCCGCTGATGTGGCCTCCCGGCTCTGGAATTCAGAGGTTTAGCACCTCTGAATGTGGAGGTTCCCCTCAGGCACCATGGCTAGTAACCATTGATAGACCTTGTCTTCCATGAATCTACCCTTTTAAGGCTGTTTATTTCTACGGCCATCACTACATCCTCTGACAGTGAATTCCACATTGTAATCACGTTCTATGTAAAGGAGTATTTCCTTTTGGCCCACCCGAATCTACTGCCCAACAGCTGCAGACCTTTCATGATATAAAGACGCAAAACCGGCGGGGCTGGGGACCCATCCCATTTGCATGGAACTGGCATGGTATAGTGGTCAGAGTGTCAGACTAGGATCTGGGAGGCCCAGGTTTGAATCTCCACTCTGCCATGGAAGCTTGCTGGGTGACCTCGGGCCAGTCACACACTCTCAGCCAAACCCACCTGACAGGGCCGTTGCGAAGATAATGGTGGAGTAGAGAACAACGTAAGCTGCTTTGGTTCCCCATCGGGGACGAAAAATAGGATATAAATAGAGTCAATAAATGAGTTCAGGTTTTGCAGCAGGCAAACACCAGCAGACAGCTTGTCATAAGAACACAAGAGAAGCCAATGCTGGATCAGGCCACTGGCCCACCCAGTCCAACACTCTGTGTCACACAGTGGCCAAAAAAGACCAGGTGCCATCGGGTGGTCCATCAGTGGGGCTAGGACACCAGAAGCCCTCCCACTGTTGGCTCCCCCAAGCACCAAGAACACAGAGCATCCCTTGCCCCAGACCGAGAGTTCCTACCTATACGTTGTGGCTAACAGCCACTGATGGACCTCTGCTCCAGATGTTCATCCAACCCCCTCTTGAAGCCGTCCATGCTTGTAGTTGCCAGCCACCACCTCCCTCTAAGCTGTAGAGTCTTGTGAGCAAAAATTCTTCTTTGTGAGCTACTGTCATTAAAGTTGTGAGCGAGCAATTTGGTTACTGCACAAATTAGTTTGTTCTGGAGCCCTCCTTCCTGAGCGAAGACAAAAATGTGTGAGCCGGAGGCTAAAAAACTGAGCTGGCTCACACTAACACAGCTTAGAGGGAACACTGGTCGCCACCACCTCCTGTGGCATCCTGTCATGAGGACCATTTTGTATTGGCCACATCATATGCGCAAAGTTCAAAATATCCACTGTACCACTACCAGGGTTCCCTCTAAGCTGAGTTAGTGTGAGCCAGCTCACAATTTTTTAGCCTCCGGCTCGCCCATTTTTGTCTTCGCTCAGGAAGGGATGGCTCCAGAGCAAACTAATTTATGCAGGAGCCCAATCACCTGCTCACAACTCTAATGCCAGTCGCTCACCAAGAAGAATTTTCGTTCACAGGACTCCATACCTTAGAGGGAACAATGAGTCCAGTACCCTCCACACACAGTTATTCTACAATCAGAATTAAACTAAATGGTCTGCGTTGCGATCTTTGGGGTGGTGGCGGCTACAAGCATGGACGGCTTCAAAAGGGAATTAGAGAAGCATATGGAGCAGAGGTCCATCCGTGGCCCCTATGAGCCAGAAGGTATAGATAGGGGCTCTGGGGCAAGT